TCTGCCAAGTGACCCTATGTAGGGGGACCAGTCTCTATTCTGCTCTGTGTCCGTGTGCATCAGGGGCTCTGAGGACAGGTGTCAATCCATATGTCAAGGTGTCAATATGTCATATGTCAGGTGTCAATCCATATTGATTGTGATTTAGGAATGTTAGGTGATTTCTGCCCTTTATGGATTAAAACCAGACTCTGTATCAACTGTGTAATTTTCCATGGGAGTTTTGCCATGGATCCCCCTCCGGCATGCCACAGTCCAGGTGTTAGTCCCCTTGAAACAACTTTTCCATCCCTATTGTGGCCAGAAAGAGTCCCTGTGTGTTTTAAAATTCGCCTGCCCATTGAAGTCAATGGCGGTTAAGCCCGGTTAGCGGTTAGTACATTCTGCGGAAGTTCAGCGTTTGGTTCGCGAACCGAAAATTTCGGGTTCGCGACATCACTAGTCATAGACCACACTGACATGCGGAGTTTATTCTAACAGGGTTGTCAACTTCACTTAATGGTTTTGCTTTGGGTTGTTGGATCATGAACAACCCAAAAAGACTGGCCTGTGTATTGTCCTTCTATCTTTTGTCAATGTGTAACAGCATTGAGGGTGGAGTTGGACCTCATCTGTATCTATAGCTTTATGATGTTGAACAGAATGTGACATCTCATTAAGTCAAGGGCAGAGTCTAATGCCCCGCTACCTTTAAACTTCACTAGTTGTCACTGCTAAGACCTGCTCTGTGTGAGGAGTCGCTGTGCAAACCACAGCTGCCTAGACCTGTCAGTGATGTTTTATTACCTCTTTGGTGAATAGCATAGGGATATTACTTAATAACCATCTCCCATGTACCATGTACCAGACACTGTATGTAGTGTAAAAGACTTCTAGGGGTCTGTACAGCATGACCTTGCCTGACTTTATTACATTCACAGCTATTACTTACTCATGTGTATTGACTACTGCTAACCAGTTAGCTTTGCTTAAACATTACCATAGTACTTAATGCCTGAACTAATTAGTTACTTCATTGTAATTTCTCTTGTATACTTCACTTGTTTAAACCTCACTAACACTTTGAAAATGTGCGCGGTTCTTCATGTCACACAATTGTCTTTAAATGTATGTTGAATCTCTGGCAACAGCTGTTGTGGCATTGCCGACTTAAATGTATAATCTATGCACAAACAAAAATAAAGAATTAAAAAAAACACAGCATCCCCCTCTACTATACAATAGTCCCCCCTCTATACTAATTCCCAGTCCCCCCTCTATACTAATCCCAGTCCCCTACCCCTCTACGAAATCCCAGGATGCCCCTCTACTAAACCCTGGCCCTTGTTTTAAAAAAACAAAAACAATATTAGCCAACAAACAGACTCCACTCACATTGCCGCTGCCAGTATGTGACTGCGGAATCCATCTTCTGGTATACCCCCAATGGTGCCGTCCGCACCTTGTGCCAAAGCGGATCCTCACGCTACTCCTTGAAACCCTGAAGGTGGAGCATGTTGATGTCACGTCGGAATGTGACGTGGCATTGCGTGCCTCCGTGCACCTACAGGTGCGGCCATCGCAACACTGACCAACATACACTCACTTACAGACACACAAACTCACTAACAGACACTCACTGACAGACCCACACACTCACTCTTTGACAGACACACTCTTTGACAGACACACACTCATGCTCACTCACTGACAGACACACTCTCTGACACACACACTCACTGACAGACACACACACTCAGACAGAAACACACACACATTCTTGCACACACTCACATAATTTTATTTATGGTTCCCTACCTTTGGGAGCTGGTGTGGGGCCTCTCCCTGAGGACTCCCTTCCTGCTCCTCACTGCTCACTCACGTGTGCAGTCTAGTGATGCCGGGTGCCGGAATTACTTCATATTCTGGCACCCGGCATCACTCCAGAGGGCGCGCGCGAGGAGCAGAAAGACTGAGCCCTCTCGCTGCCGCCAGTGACCTCTCCTCCCAGGCCAGGTACATTTTAGCAGAGTAGGTACTTGCAATGTGGGGAGAGCAGGTGCCTACTCTGCCTTAGTAAGCATGTCATACTCGCAGCTCGCAAAATTATTAATTGTGGGTGAGTTTGACATGCTTGTTGTAAACCAACCCATAGCTGGGAAGCCATGTCACACCCAAAGCTTGTGGCCCTTGAATCATAATCAATACAATGCTCAGTCCTGCTCAGCTGTGTTTTCAAGATAACCCTTAAAGGGCCACTATAGTCACCTGAACAACTTTAGCTTAATGAAGCAGTTTTGGTGTATAGATCATGCCCCTGCAGTCTCACTGCTCAATTCTCTGCCATTTAGGAGTTAAATCACTTTGTTTATGAACCCTAGCCACACCTTCCTGCATGTGACTTGCACCGTCTTCCTAAACACTTCCTGTAAAGAGTCATCTACAGTTTATCCTTCCTTTATTGCAAGTTCTGTTTAATTTAGATTTTCTTATCCCCTGCTATGTTAATAGTTTGCTAGACACTGCAAGAGCCTCTTGTATGTGATTAAAGTTCAATTTACAGAGAAAGAGATACGATTGTTTAAGGTAAATTACATCTGATTGAAAGTGAAACCAGTTTTTTTCATGCAGGCTGTGTCAATCAGAGCCAGGGGAGGTGTGGCAATGGCTGCATAAACAGAAACAAAGTGATTTAACTCCTAAATGGCAGAGAATTGAGCAGTGAAACCGGAGACACATGATCTACACACAAAAACTGCTTCTTTGAGCTAAAGTTCTGTAGACGACTATAGTGTTCCTTTAAGTTACCTGAGCTCATTTTCAATGGTAAAGAACGGTTATTGTTTCCTTGCAAGTTAATGTGAGAAACTGTATAATTCCTGTAGGACTAAAGTTCTCAATGATCGGGTTTATTATTATGTTCCTTAAAGAGTACCTGTCATGGGTTGATATACTTTCCATAATTCGAATCCAGTTCCAATTTCATCTATACATTGTGCTAGTGAAACCGCGAGCTAATGTATAAATTTGTGTAAAAATTGCCACTAAATTCGTGCTCTCCCTCTGTTATGGCAGACAGAGTATTGGCATAGACTCTATGCCAATGTCCGTCTGCCTTAGTAAACGCCAATGGCCAGCTTAAATGTTTCACTGTTCATGCGCCCCATGTGTGCCATCGCTATAACCACATCAGCGTCATCAGGGGGGGCAATGCCCGGTCTGGGAAGCCATCAGAGGCTCCACAAAGAGAGGTAGGACAGAGAAGAGGATTCATGCCAATGATGTCGGTGCTGGAACCATTAGGGAGGAGATGAGTATCCTGAAAACTCTATGAAGCTCCATTGAAGGTCACTAAAAAAATGTTTTAAATTTTGGTAGGCACACAGCAAAAGGATTTAGTTTAATTAAAGTTTAAAATAAAGTAACAAGTTCACATTAATTTTAAAATATTATCACAATTCGCATATCACTCAATCAGTAAATAAAGTGGCCATATCACCCAAAAGTAGATCTTACAGGATATCAAATGATTTGACTGTAGCCATGCTACATACCTACTTACAATATACATCCCCGGTAAAAGCGTTGCCTATAAATAGACCTATAGCTTTTTGTTAAAGATGAAATGTTTGACATCTGGCAATTTTTATTCACTGAGATCTTTAACAGCTCTCTGTGTCGGTTACATCTGCAGTTAGTACTTGTAAGAAAGACCCCTTTGTTGCTACGTTGAGCAGCTTCTGTATGGAATCCTGTGGTTGAAAGCAATTCATTAAAAAAAAAAAAAATCTTGTCAGATGCTGTTTAAACAAACTCATTACGAGTAGCAACACAGTTGTCGTCCCTGCTTTTTCATGTCTGTGTTATAAAATCCATCAGCAACCAATGTGGATTAACTCTGACATCCACTATTTATTTTTTTTCTTTATAACAAAGTAAGAACAATTGATATCATGAATTCAGAGATGAATCCATTGAATGATGTTTAAACCAAATGACAGTACCCAAATACAACAGTATTTTTTTACTCTATCTAAAGAGGATATATTGTTTTGATTTTTTAAATTAGATTCAGTAACATATCCTAAACTCATTGCTTTGTTGATTTTTTTTCTTTCCCGGAATATATTATAAAAAACAAATATGTATATAAAAAAATAAACCTAGACAACTGAAAAGAATTTCAAACATAATAAAAAACAATAAAAAAAAAATAAAATATCAAATGTATGTGAAATTTTGTTGAAATCTTTTTGTTTTTTTCTTACTTACTCAGTGGTAAATATAAACTAATGCAATATACAATTTCCAATAGTCAATACCACACACTAATAGCGAAATCATAGCACCCTAATAATGTTAACCAAGTACCCCTCGAGTTTGTAAGGTGTTTAATGCAATGAAGAACACTACAGGAAGGTGTCATATTGCATTATAATATAACGCATAAGCATAGACAGATGCATCATGCAGTCTTATGTGTTTTAACTGTTTGTTGCCAAGCACTATGCAATGAATCCGTTAAATGTGAGCAAACATGAACAGCATGGAAAATAATAGCAGCTATTTATTAAAGTGACACCAATAACTAAATAAAAAATTGATGTACGTTTCTGAGCAATATTTTCATTTTTTGTTTATGCATGTGGATTTGAGACATTTACAATGTTAGTGCAGTTTTTATACAGCAGACTAGCAAAATCAGATTGTATTTTCCCTTTTCGCATTACGTAAAACAGATGTTTACCGTTATTTTGTTGTGCTTCTATAGGCTTCACTCATCTATTTGTGTCGGTGCTAATCAACAGCAAGTGTAATATAAAATTGACGCAAAAAAAAAAAAAAAATTGCATATTTAAACTATTTGTTTTCTCGCTGTTGGTGTAGAGATGCAATAAACATAAAATGAAACAATAGCAGAGGAAATTCATGTCCAAGGATCTAGCAATCTCAGTTTAACAGACACAGGCAGCTGCATTCTGATGCTATATATGCTTAGAGGCGTTAAACTCACCATGTGGCTATTATTCCATAGTTAATTCTCCTCTTTCTTTTCCGCTGTGAAAAAGTGATGTCAGATTCCTGGGTTAAAAAGATGAAGCTCAGCCAGCATCACACTTAACAGTCCTGTTGTCCCCTGGCTGTCTTGAAGTTTCTGTGCGAAGGGACTCCTAGTCAGAGAACAGCGTTAGATGGAATGCTCGCAGGAGCAGCTCCCAACTGGTCAACACTTGTTGCTATTTTCAGATCTTACAGAAACCATTCTCTTTTGCTTGTAACATCAGTGAAAACACAGACCAATCAGGCTTCCCAGGGGCTGTAACTGGATCATCTCTCCCCAGTCAGTGGAAATCTGACTAAAAAGATTTTTTCCTTTTTTAAAGGCAACTAACCATGCGTGAAAAGAAAATGCAAGAGCCACCCAATAAATATTAATAAATAAAAAAAATACTAACATTCAACACATTAAAACATATATTTATTCTGAGATTTGGAGGACATCTTAAGAAGTGGTGGCATAGTATATGTACTATAAATTAGAAGGAGGTATTCTATTCCTTTATTATAACAACGCTGTAATAATATCAGTTATTATAACGTAATTATTAATCACATTAAAGGTATGATATTGTTGGTGAGAGGAGAGAACTTTCAGAAAAAGTTATGCTACAGTTCTGAGTACATGGCAACTTTTTACACAATGGCAGTACTGGCAAAAAGAGACGATGCCCTAGCTGTTCTAGAACAACAATTCTTATGTTTGCCGGTAAGGCTGGAGTTGTGTACACCAGATTGACTGACTTTCTCAAATCCAACTCTCTGCTTGACCCCCTTCAGTCTGGATTCCGCGCTAGTCACTCTGTCGAAACGGCTGTGACCAAAGTATCCAACGATTTAATTGCTGCTAAATCTCACGGCCATTACTCTATCCTAATTCTCTTTGATCTTTCTGCTGCCTTTGACACTGTTGATCATCAACAGCTTCTTTACATTCTCCCTGTAATTTTGGTCTACGGGATACTTCTCTCTCCTGGTGCTCCTCCTACCTCTCCCACCACTCTTTCAGTGTTTCTTTCTCTGACTCTGCCTCTTCCCTCCAACCACTCTCTGTCGGCGTCCCCCAAGGTTCAGTCCTTGGTCCTCTAATTAATTTCTATGCAGATGACACGCAAATCTACCTGTCCTCTCCTGATCTCTCTCCGCCCATCTTGACTCGTGTCTCTGACTGCCTCTCTGCGATTTCCAACTTGATGGCTGCTCACTTCCTTTAACTCAACCTGTCCAAAATAGAATTTCTGGTCTTTCCTCCCTCAAGTGTTGCTACTCCCGTGTATGTCTCCCTCCAAGTCAACGGCGCTACCATCACCTCTACCTTGCAGGCTTGCTGACTGGGTGTTCTTTTTGACTCCAGCCTCTCCTTCACCCCTCATGTCCAATCAATTGCCAAATTCTGTCGCTTCCATCTCCAAAATATAGCGCGCATCCGCCCCTATTTAACGGTGGATGCGGCTAAGGTGCTGGTCCATGCTGTTGTTCTTTCTCGCCTTGATTACTGCAAACCCCTTCTCAGTGGTCTTATGTGTTCCCAGATTACACTTCTGCAATCTATAATGAATGCGGCGGCGAGGCTCATTTTCCTGTCTGCTCGCACCTCCCATGCCTCCCCGCTCTGTCAGTCCCTGCATTGGATTCCAGTTAGATATAGGGCTCAATTTTAAATTCTGGTGCTTGCTTCCAAGTCCCAACATAATGCTGCTCCAACCTACCTATCCTCCTTGATACACAAGTATGTCCCGTCAAGGTCCCTACGCTCTGCCAAAGACCTATGTCTATCCTCTGTCCGTACTCCCACCTCTGATGCTCACCACCAAGATTTCTCCAGGGCTGCAACGAAAACTCACTTCTTTAAGAAAGCATATCAATTAAACTGTTAGCAGGTTTTTATCCCTCACTCCCCATGACTCCTCTCCTGCAACTGTCAAAAATTACCTAAGCCCTCAGTGAATAATTTTCTAACAACCTACTTCATACCCCTACTTTTACCCTTTGTGTCACTATTCCCCACTCCCTCTAGAATGTAAGCTCATTGAGCAGGGCCCTCCACCCCTGTGTTCCTGTACGTCCAGTTGTCTGGTTACAATTACATGTCTGTTAGTCCACCCATTGTACAGCGCTACAGGAATCTGATGGCACTATATAAATAATAAAATTAATAATTAGACTTTCAGTTCCGCAACAGATGAAGTCTTGTCATCAGTATATCAAGGATATCAGTATGCATATCTCAACAATTTGTACCATGTGTTGACTATAAGCTGGTATGAAATGGAAATGCATACTCAACTATACATTACATTCTATAATGTTGTAAAGCACTGCGGAATAAGTTGTTTCTGTATTAATACTACTACTACTACTACTAATATTTATATGTGCAGACTTACATATAGGAAACAAATAAATCCCTTTATATGTACAGTGCAGAGGAGACTGGAGGACTAATAAGCAAGTTTTCCTAATAGACAGAGTAGGCATCTGCATACAGGTACCTAACCACTGGGGGGGTTCAAGTTTTCAGCACTTATAACTTGCCTCTATTAGCTTAAAGGGACACTACAGTCATTAAAACAACTTTAACTTAATGAAGCAGGACGGGGGTCCAGGACTGTGGGGAGGTAGCCACCATAGAGGCTGAGCCCAGGCAGGATGTAGGGCCCGTCCGTGTTGCTAGAGCGGTGGGGGCTGCAAGTTTTGGCGGCCATGCATGAGGCGCGGGGAGGAACCTCAGCCCCCCTGGTGATCTTGATGGTGAACAGAGATGCCAGAGGATGTCCTGAGGCACATGGTGAGGCAGGCCTGCAGAGGACCAAGCTTTGTGTGTTGCAGTGGACGGAGGCACTGGTAGGCCCACAGGATCACACCTTGGTACGGCAGGAGGTCCCACGGGACGGGGATGTGGCGCGGGAGGCATAGGTCTTGCAACAGTGCTCTCCCACTAGTGGTGGGAGGGGGAGCCCATCGTATTCTGGGGATGACAGTTCGGGTTCGGTTGGCAGTGGTGCCCCATGTGATTCCAACTCAGGGTCCATGCAACTTTAGGATCTGGGCAGATCTTCTGGGGCTTTTTGGTAAGTTCTCAATTGGAGTCACGCGGCAGTTCCCCCAGATATCGCAGCAGGAGTCGTAGCCCCAAGCATCTTGTGTCTGAGGGTGCCAGGAAGGGAGTCTGGATTCTTTGGTGGCGGGAAGGTTGATCCTTGGGTTACGGCAGGGGGGTGTCTAGTGAATGGTGCATCCTGTCCAGGACTTTTTCTTCTGGTTTCAGGTCAAGGAGCTGGTCTTCTTCGGTGCAGTTAAGGCATCGGGTGGTTTAGTCCGGTTGGCGAGGAGAGAACATGGGCATTAGTGCAGTCCAGAGGCCTTCGCAGGAGAGGGCCTTAGTTGGTGAGTTGGATGACACACGGCATTCAGAGGGTTTTGTTGATTCATTGCAGTTGACTGATTCATGGGGCAAGGGTGGGTCACCTGGGGCTGATGTGGGTAATGTGTGGGATCTGTGTTCAGGGATGGCTGGGGGCTCAGAGTCGTGCGTTTCGATTCGGGCGCTCGGACAGTGACTACAGTCTAGACTGCGATGGTCACAGCTGTTTCCGACGCGGCTTGGCCAAATACCTATGTTTCCTTCCCTAGGGGTGCACTTGAAGCAGGAGTTAAAGAAGAAGATATGGAAGGGTGAGTTTTGCAAAATCTTTTCGCTTCTGTTGTTGGAGGACTTCGTGGAAGACACGTGCGACATTTTGGTCTGAATGTTAATTCAGACAAACATCGTGAAATTCAGACATTCGGATGCTTACGAATGTCCGAAGTTCAAATTGCTGAATTTTCGAAGTGCCGAACCGAAGTTCCGAATTGCCGAAGTGGTTCAGATTTCTGAAAAGTGGCAAAACAAGTGGTAAGGGTCCAAATTACCTTAGTTCTGAATTGCCAAAGGGCCGAACCGAATGCCATTGGTCCGAATTGCTGAAGCAGACAAATTTTTTACTTACCCGAATTTCCAAACCAAATCTTTTGACCATGCACATCCCTACTTCATGGACCTGAAGGAGGAGCATAAAAAGGACGCCAAGAAAGAGGAGAAAGAAAGGTGTAAGAGGTATCTGAAGATACCTAAGTCATTCGGGAAGTGGCTGCAGTCTTTTTGCATACTCGTCAGTGTTCTCAGAGAAAAATCACTGGTCTGTGTTCATAGCTGTTCTCTTATCTGGATGGAGTATGGGAGATGTACTGCACGTATGGCGGATTGGCATGGTGGAAATATGATGAGCAGTTCTGGCAGAGGTGTTCTGCAAACCCAGGGATGAGGTGGGACCAGATGGAACTGCCTTTGTGGATGAAGTTAATGATGGTGCAGAAGTCACCTCCCTTTCAGTTGGCAGCCAGTGCTGGGAGTAGAACAAAAAGATAATGGTTCAGCGCTAAGTAGTCTATAAGAAACTAAAATAAAGTGTAAAAGCAGCAACCTATAGGAATGAGGTCCCTCAACAAGCCTCACATGGAATAGGATAGACAAAAAAGGGGTATATAGGTCGCGCTAAGGGGACAAGGAGGTAAAATAAATGGAATAAATAGAAGTAATAAAAAAGTCCCAAATAATAGATAAACCTGTGTTGTTCTTAGATGAGTATACAGTCCAAATGGATATCTGAATCTTCTTATGCTGGGAGTAGTCCTCCTCGTCGGACGCACTCAAAATAGGTTTTTACTGGCTCCTTAATGAGGGCCAGTGCAAGTAGGGTACCAGGTGTCGGTTTAAGCATGAATGCGACAGGTGCACTTACTGCCTCAGTTGCTTTAGGTGCTTTTAGGTTCCTCATATGCTTTAAGCGAGGTAAGGCTCAGGGCCTCGATCCGGTAGGGCTCCTTCTGCTGTCACAGGGCTTAAAGCAAATGAGGCTAGACTTGATGTTACCGTGGCTAAGCCATGACGGTAACAGGGCTGACGTGGAGTTTTTGTGATCATGTTTTGAGAATGTTTTCTTAATCCCGTTCCAAGATTGGGGGGGATTTGGGGAGTGGGCGTAACTTGAGATAATTTTTTAACTTCGTAGAGGTGGTTCGGTGCAAGAAAATGCAACAGGGTACGATGGCGGGTCCGTTTGTGGAACCTCCTTTGCCTAATTTGTGTGTGTCTCCTCTGGGGGTTGTCCCTAAGAAGGACCCTGGAAAATGAATTGGGTGTATGTATTTAGCAGTCTGTATGTGTAATCAGCTGTGTGTGTGTGTGTGTGTGTGTGTATTTAGAATTCTGTGTATGTGCATTCACCAGTCTGTGTTGTAGTCTGCACTCTGTGTTGTAGTAAGCACTCTGTGTTGTAGTCAGCACTCTGTGTGTGTGTATTAAAAAAATGGGTGCATATGTTCAGCACTGTGTGTGAGTGCATTCACCAGTCTTTGTGAGTGCACTCACACACAGTGCTGAACATATACACCCATTTTTTTTAATACAGACACACAGACTTCTGAATACAACACAGACTGCTGAATACATATACATAAATCACACATACACACAGACACATACGGATAACACATATACATACACACATGAAATACACGCACAGATAACACATAGACATATACACACAAAGATCACAATTTACAGATTTTTAGCCACTTCCTGCTTCCATACCTTTTTTGGTGCAGGGAGGTGGCTACCCTGGGTTCAAGTGGCATCTGGTTGGGTGTGATGGGACTTGGGTCCAGACTCTCCCTTCTCTCAGGTCCTCCCCTCTCTTGCTCTCCCGTGTGGCTCATTAGTACACTGGGAGGAAGTGCATTATATTTCCTCCCAGTCCCGTGGCTCCACACAGACCAGGTGGTCAGTTGCGCTGTTAAATGGCTGCGGAGCCTGATCAAAGATGGCCATCGGGTGGCCACAAGTGAATAGAGTAAGATTTGAAAAAGAAATTATAGAACTTGTTTGGTAGAATCAAAAAATAAAATAAATAAAAAAATTCTCATCTATTTTAAAATTTTACATTTTTTAAAGGACACTCCAGGCACCAGAAGCACTGTAAATTAAAGGACCACTATAGTTACCCAGACCACTTCAGGTCAATGAAGTGGTCTGGGTGCCAGGTCCCCCAGGTTTTAACCGTTCAGATGTAAACATAGCAGTTTCAGAGAAACTGCTATGTTTACATTGCAGGGTTAATCCAGCCTCTAGTGGCTGTATACCTGACAGCCGCTAGAGGCCCTTCTGCGACACTGAATGCGAAAATCGCATTCAGCGTGCAGAACGTCCATAGAAAAGCATTGAGAAAACCGTTAGCAACAAAAGTGAGTACACCCCTAAGTGGAAATGTCCAAATTGGGCCCAAAGTGTCAATTTTTCATGTGGCCACCATTATCTTCCAGCACTGCCTTAACCCTCATGGGCATGGAGTTCACAGGTTGCCACTGGAGTCCTCTTCCACTCCTCCATGACGACAACACGGAGCTGGTGGATGTTAGAGACCCTGTTAGAGACCTTGTGCTCCCCCACCTTCTGTTTGAGGATGCCTCACAGATGCTCAATAGGGTTTAGGTCTGGAGACATGCTTGGCCAGTCCATCACCTTTATCTTCAGCTTCTTTAGCAAGGCAGTGGTCGTCTTGGAGGTGTGTTTGGGGTCGTTATCATGTTGGAATACTGCCCTGCGGCCCAGTCTGAGAAGGGAGAGGATCATGCTCTGCTTCAGTATGTCACAGTACATGTTGGCATGGTTCATTCATGATTCCCTCAATGAACTGTAGCTCCTCATTGCCAGCAGCACTCATGCACCCACCACCATGCTTGACACCATGTGAACCAAATAAGTTTATCTTGGTCTCATCGGACCACAGGACATGATTCCAGTAATCCATGTCCTTAATCTGCTTGTCTTCAGCAAACTGTTTGCGGGCGTTCTTGTGCATCATCTTTAGAAGAGGCTTCCTTCTGGGATGACAGCCATGCAGACCACTTTACAGTGTATGGCATATAATCTGAGCACTGACAGGCTGACCCCCACCCATTCAACCTCTGCAGCAATGCTGGCAGCACTCATACATCTATTTCCCAAAGATAACCTCTGGATATGACGCTGAGCACATGCACTCAACTTCTTTGGTCGACCATGGCAAAGCCTGTTCTGAGTGGAACCTGTCCTGTGAAACCGCTGTATGGTCTTGCCCACCGTGCTGCAGTTTCAGGGTCTTGGCAATCTTCTTATTGCCAAGGTCATCTTTATGTAGAGCAACAATTCTTTTTTTTTTTAGATTCTCAGAAAGTTTTTTGCAATGAGGTGACATGTTGAACTTCCAGTGACCAGTATGAGAAAGTGGGAGAGCGCTAACACCAAATTTAACTCTTCCATTGATTTTTTTAAAATTTTAATGCCTATAGCTAGATGTTCAATTTTACCTTCTGTTTACACTCATTGTTGTTTTCTTTTTCTTTTATATTATTATATTTTTAATGCACTTATTCTATTTTACATATATGATTTAAGTGTTGTAAATTCTGAAATTCTGAAATTTTATTTTATATTTAATTTTATTTTTTATGTGAATTACACTTTTATTATTTGCTTCAGACTGTATCATCTAGATTTGTCATTATATTAAGTATATTTTTAAACTTTTATTGGTATTTACAAAGATGCTCTTAGATTCAGTTATAACCATGTACTCAATTTTTTGTCTTATTTTGGTCCTTTTTTACACTGTTATTTTTACCTAAATTATACTTATTATTTTTATCTAATATTGTTTATGCATAGACAATATTATTATTATTATTATTATTATTATTAATAGATGTTGTTTCGGTGTCTTATCTCTTTATTTTTATTTTATGTCTATAGAGGAAGCTATTGCTCCTTTTATTTCTTTTAGTATGTGTTATTCCAGTTTTTTGCCTGTAGAGTGAGCTACTGTCCCTTTTATCTTTGTTATAAAAATTACCTGTCCACCATTTTTTTGGGATCCCTAGCTTATTCAGGCAGATGCGATTTTGTTGGAGCCCAAAAAAAAATAAAAAAAAATATATATATATATATATATATAGATTTGTTTTTTTTAATTTAATTTGGTCATGTGACCATGATGTCACAAAACTGTTATTTTCAAAATACTAACCCTATTTAAACAGCTCAGGTCCCATTCACTCTGGAAAACACTTTTGATAATCCTATCCAAGTAGAAACGTGTTAAGTGTATTGTTTATAATATTTTATCACTATTTTATTTTATTATATTTTGTTTTACTTTTATTATTTTTTTAATATTAAAGTACTTTTTTAATTACTATGCTGCT